CACACACACGCTCGCGAGGGGGCGAACCCGCTGTTTTTTTTTTTTTACTTTTTTTTTTGATTGTTTGATTGATTGATTGATTGATTGATCGATTGATTGATTGATTGATTCGCGGGGAAGGGGTCGCCCTTCCTCCCCCCACATGCATACACACACACAAACGAAAAAATAAAAATTTTCCTTTTTTTTATTAACTTTCTTTTGATCAAGATACATTTTTTTTGGTTTTCTATTTAAAAAAAATAAGAAAATACTTTATAATCCAAAAAAAAAATTACCGCGTTGTAGGTCTCTTCAAACCCTACAACCCCATATATATATATATATATTCTTTTTTGGCCTATTATTTTTTTTTTTTTAAATGTGTGAAATTCTCGGCCGCACCCAACCGCAGGTCCGACCTCAGCGGTTGGGATCCCGACCGCGGGCCGAGATGGACCCCGCGGTCATGACCGCGGGGGATACATAGCTCACAACCCCTCAAATGTACCTTCTAATGCGAAGGTAGCAATAAAACCAACTCATCCTTACGAAGAACGCTCCTTCCTTTTCCCTTGTGCCAATCTGCCTGTCTACTGCGACCAACTGGAACCGAGCGAGCCAGGTTCGTCCTAATTTCCTACGAAGAAAATAACCACTGGTCCAAAACAAGTTTGTCATTTTCAATTCTTGCAAGCGTATTGCAATCACACCATGTCTCTTTGAACCACCTCAGACCACTTGGCCCGTTCCCTGCTGACAGAACTTTCTTCCTGCAGTCAGCCTGGATGGATTGTCTTATTCCCTTCTGCACTGTAGCCCGAATTTGTTTGTTCGACCAGTCTTGACCTTTGAATATACAGTCATTCCTTCCCTACCAGATTACCGCACAAACCACCGCTCTCAGCGTCTGCGCCACATATCCCCAACCCTGAGACGGGGAGAGTGAATCAGGAGTTCCCCCCAGCAGAGTCCAATGCTTATCCCAATTCATTATCCCACCTGAGATGTTCTCCCACTTTGCGGTCCACCACTTCCAAAATTCGATCCACTGCAGGGAAGTCCCACCAAAGACGAATAGTGGATTCAAAAGCCCACTGGCACCTCATACATTTGATATCCACTCTCATACCATGTTCCACTAGCCATACCGCGGAAGGGGTGGATAGCAGAGATAACAGCCACAAAATTGCAGCTTGACGTTGGTTGGGGAGCAGGACCAATTGCTTCCAGCATTTCTTTAGAGCATCCATAATAATCTGAGGATCCAGGTTCAGCAGTGGTTGCCATCTTATCGTTGCCACCATCAGGGGGTCTTTTGAAGGCAAGATCAACTTATAGCCAATCTTCTGGGTATAATCCAAGAGACACAGACTTTGTCCGGCGCTTCCGGTGGCCCGCCATTCCCATTTTTTGGGCTCCAACTTCAAGGCCGAAACAGGTTTGGCATTCGAAAATAGAACACAGGATGTCGAGCCAGTGTTCATTGTACAGGATCACCTGCATGTGCATGCTCCTAATATTCTATCAATTAGGCTGGCACGGCTGCACGGCCTAATTGATAGAATCAGCCCACTCTGTGAGGTACAATAAAGCCGAGCCGCTGATACATTTTTGAGGAGCTGTGACTTAATGGGAGTCGTTCTCTCCATTTTGATACGAACGACTCCCATGAAGTCACAGCTCTTCAAGAATGTATCAGCGGCTTGGCTTTATTGTACCTCCCCTGTCAGTGCTTCAACTCAAAGTCAAATGTGTTGATGTATGCAGACCATAGCTGAGGTGCCCATGTGCGGTGTGGTGCATAGGGCACGATGCGCTCAACCTCGATGTGCGCGCAGCGTGCTGGGCACATGGGGCTGCCCCTGCAATGCGCGCACAGGGGGCTTTTCTTTGAGAAAATTTCCTATGTATGTCCCGTCCCCGTTTCCGATGTTATGTGTCGTTCTGATTTGTGCTGGGCGCGCAGGTAGCGAAGTCTACCCATTTCGTCGAATCTGAATCATGTCCTTTTCCCGCAGCTTTCAAATAGAACACACAGAAAAAAAGCAAAAACACCACTTTGTCAGACCGTTTCATCGGACTTTCGTCCACGAGCTTCGCTGCACCACGCATTGAATGTGACGAAGCGCCTTGCTCCACTACTCACCACAGGTGCGAAATGAGAATGAATGTGCCGCTCGAAAATGGGAAGATTTGTCTTTTGTGCATGTGGTGAGTAGTGGAGCGAGGCCCAATGGCAAAATTGTGGCGGGTGTATCCTTCCGTGTTCTAGAGGGAGATACATTATCGTTTTGCGCATCTGTTGGGTGGTGCTGCGAGACCCTAAAAGACTAAAAGTTAGCCTAAAACATGCTAAATTTGGAAACCACTTTTAGGGCCTCGCTCCACTGCTCAACAATCGATACGTATTCGGCACATTTTGAATCCATTAGGAGCACTTTCAGGGGCAGATACATTTAGAATGCTGTGCAGTGGAGAGAGGCCCAAAGTAGCCATTCCTCGTTTGTCTGGCTCTGACAGTGGACGGTTACTTGAGGACCTCGCTCCACTGCACAACTTTCTTTTTCTTTCTTTTTTTTTAATGCGGTTACTTGAGGACCTCGCTCCACTGCACAACTTTCTTTTTCTTTCTTTTTTTTTAATGTTTTTTTTCTGGTCTGATACAGCATGATGCGAGGATCAGGGTCCCCGGTAGGCCTATGGGGCCCTGCTTGCATTAATACCCGCCCTAAGTGAAGGCGGAGGTGCCCGCCCTAAGTGAAGGCGGGCCTTGCTTTTTGCAAGATGCCCTCGACTGTCAATTTCATATTTGGGGTTCAGGCAGTTGCGATGCGCCAGTTGGTTGAGAGAAACACATGCCGAGCAACAAAGACATTTTCACGGCCCTCTGGGGCTTTCCAAAGAATGCAGGCCCTGGGCGTGATTCGCAGCCTCATACAGAGACAGTTGGGCGCCCAACCGAAGGAGGCCCAGTAGCTGCTGTACGCAGGCAGCATCCTGGGGCCTTCCGGAAGCTTCTGGGCCCAGGCCAGCCCAGCCAGGCTGCGAGAGCTGGCCAGCTCTTTTCCATAAAGGAAAGAGATCTGGCCAGGCAGCCTCATTCAGGCACTCGCATGCTAGCGGCAGCGCTGCTGGAGCAAAGGCTCGCGGCTGCTGGCTGGCGCTGAGAGGCGAGGTGCAGCACGTGCAGTCGTGCAGAGGAGGAGGGCGCTGCTGAGGGCAGCGCCATAGCCCAGCCACCATAGCTGGTGGGCTTGGACTACAGTGAAGCGCAGGGGTGGTCTTCGGGTGAAAGAGAGGACAGGTGTGGGTGTAAGGGGATAGGTGAAGGATGATGATGATGATGATGATGTGAGGGCACTACCTTGTATTGGCGATGGTCTGCATGGGCGACATCTTCAAGTACTTCGGGCTGCCGCTGATGTCAACAGTTGCATTGTCTTTTTGTAGTCTGTAGTAGCTGTGTAGGAGTAGGCTGGGCGCTGAGCGCCAAGTGTGAGTGTGAAGGAACTGGACTCTTGTGTTGAGAGGAGAGAGTAAGCTCTCCATGGACATTGGTTT